TTTTCATCTCCTGTCCCTTAAGAGAAGTGCAGGGTGACATCCTGTACGCATGAAAAGTTCAAAAGACTAAAGAAACGGAACTGAAATAATCATAATTCCCTTTTAACTCAGCGTGCGGAAACCCACTTGAGCATCTACAATCATGTTAGCATTTAGTTTCAAGCTGGCATTTGGCCACAGGAGCCATTACAGAAATATGCAAACATAATGAAGGTCCAATATGAAGAGTGGAGCGAATGCATTAAAGGTTAAAGGAACAAGCAGCATCCTTGGATTGCTTCCAAGGATTTAAGCTTTTATGTTTGCATTCCCATGATAATCATAAAGGAAAACATGTACATGTTATTGTGTACATCTTGACATTCCTACCTAATTCCCTTTCTCTCTTCAGATTGTTTATGCTTATGATGCTCTAAAAAGTCATCTGCAACATGAGTCCTAATCTGTATAGCACGCCAAATACAATATAATATAAACGATGCAATCCTTTTGCTCATAACAGGAAACAACAAGAGTCTGCAGCAGCTCTGTGTAGGCGCAGGAGTGCTTTGAGTCAAATGCTAACGTCTGCATGCTATTTTCATAATGACAGCTGATGTTCAGCATGTATGTTTGCAGCGTTCACCTTCTTAATTCAGCACATTAGTATGCCATTTGCTAATTAGCACTAAACAGAAAATAGAGCTGAGGATGAAGGTAACGTCCTTGGCTTTACAGGAATTTGGTCATAATGGACCAATAAAACGTGATGTGATGAAAAGTTTAAGAGTCATCAAACGTATCACAATTCACCCTGAGGGGAAGATAAATGTGTGTACCTGATTTCCTCCCAATCCGTCCAACAGATGCAGTGTTATTTCAACCTGGACTCACCAACCCACCGACCTGCACTGTCCAGACATCACCAATACCAGAGCTGCGTCACGTTGAAAAGATAAACTCTTATTTCTTATTTAGTCATCTATTTATTTTTAACCAAAGACAGACCACTCTACAATGAGTGTTTGGAACTTTCTAAAAGTCAGGAAACATTGAAACAGATTTTATGGAACATAAGATATTGTTTTGGTTTTTAGATCTAAAATAGGTTGACAGTTAAATTATTTAGTTCTGAGGCTGAAAACAACAGCAGAACCTGCACCACTTTTCTCTGACGGCCCCCCTGACGTTGAGGTTATCTTTTCCATCTGTTTCTTTTTTGGGGGGCAGCAGCTTCAGATTTTACACCCTGATGACATTATAGTGTTTTGTCCACCGGGCAGCTCTTTTTCAATTAGCAACTCTCAGCGTGATCAGCAACACCCAGCAGTGTGTGCATGTACCTGAAATTAAAACGAAATCTGTTACTATTCTCACTACAAGGTTAACCACAGAGGACAGTGAGTGTAATATATCAAATTGTTCTCATTTGAACAAAATTACAGTCTAAACATAGCTCACTGGGGTGGGACCACGATGCAGCTTCTAGCTGTTTGCACCCTTGCAGAGGGAGAAGCAGTGAGGACATGTGACCTGATATCTGCCTCCCTGAGCCACCAGATGTTGCTGTAGTGCAGATACAGACTGCAGAGACTCGGGGAGGCTCAGTGTCAGGGTTGAGAAAAAAGAGCTGCAAAACAACCTGAGCTCTTACTTTCTGTTTAACAGAGTTTATACAGAATGTGACTCCACTCATCATAACTGTCATAACTTGATGTTCTGTGGACATTTGTTGGGCGCTCTCTCTTAGAGGTAGCAGATAAATGCCATTGGCATGTCTTGAAATGTTGCCAGTTCATGACAGATGTGCCCGAGGTGGGTTGCCAAGTACATCACTGTGTGTTGATAATGCCTGTATGTCCACTGTGTGAGCATATGGACGGGTGACCACTACAGTGAGAGGATCCAGGGGCTCTGTTGTGCTGTGGGGGCATTTTGCTGCTATGGTTTGGGTCCATTTGTCCTCTTTGACAGAAGAGTAGCTGAGTTCTGTTCTGAGTGATCACCTTTATAACTACAGAGCCCTAAGTAGAGGGACATAGTTGCCCAGTGTATGCATGTTTACCTGATTCTGTGTTTTAATGTGCTCCTACTTGAGGATGAACTTGCCTTGATTTTGCCTTAAAATGATTCATAATGTAATAAGAGCTTCGTCTATCATATAACACAATTAATTTGCATGGAGGAGAAGCATTTTGCTGGAATTTACACCTACGGCTAAGCATCTAAGATTTATGACCTTGATCTGTTGTCCAAGGTCAGATGTCACATCACCAATATGGTTCCTATCAGATTGCAGTAAAAAAAAATAAAAAATTCTTTATCTTACACCTTTTCCAAGTTATAATGGATTTAAAATTTGTGATGATTTACGGCCTTCAGTGTAACCTTGACCTTTGTCTCGAGGTCATATGTTATGTCACCAGTTTATAGGCCTCGAATGTCTTCCTAAGCTAGTATTATAAATTCATGTCTTTTTGTGCATTTTCAGTCATACAGAGCTGTTTTGGGGAAATGTGACCTTTAACCTCTGAGTCACTGATGCATGTATTGACCCCAAAATCTAATCACTCCGAGAAGGGACCATACTGAGGTCATATATGAAGTTTCAGGTTCAAACTCCTCTCCTGTAAAGCGCTAGACTGTTAACAGACAAAAAAATAAAAAAAACATTCACGCACACACACACAGACTTACAAAAACAAACACACAGGCACGATTACTCTATAGCTTCCCATCGATGGGCAACTATAATGAAACATTTCTGTCTTGATAGGAGGCTCCTACAGGATGACAATGACCTCCCATCCACAGGGCACGAAGGGCTTACTGAATGGTATGATGGAAATGATGCAATGTGGCCTTCACAGTCACCAGATCTCAACCCAGCTGAACACATAGGGTACATTTTGTACCGACAGGTTAGACAAAGCATCATCAAAACATCTAATGTGGGAATATTTGTAGAAAGAATGGTGTTTATCCTGTCAGTGAAGAATCAATGCCAGGGGGCAGTGAAGCTGTTCTGGCAGCTTGTGGTGATGCTTTATGTCGTTTATTTATTTAATTTGCCAGTCTGTGTGCGCACTGTGGTATGTGGAAAATGTAAAAGAGTTATGAGTGGGTTTACTACACTTTTTATGAGCTAAAATGTTTAGAAATTAGCATGATAAGCTAGGAAGTCTGTCTTTAAATTGACTTGCCGTTCTTTCGTCATGTGCTGTTTTGAACCAACGTTGTGACTGTTGCTGTCCAGATAATAACGGCAGTAAGAAACGATAAGCAAGCCTTCCACCTACCAGGTTCTACACAAAGCTATGCAAAACAAGTATCTTATGCTTTTGTGTAATAGTATTTTGATTGTGGGTAAATTTGCATACTCAAATGTAACTTTTTTTAAAAGTTGCAAATCTATTTTCAATCCTCATAAGAAAAACGAATAAGAGGAGTTTCCTAAAACCTTTTGAAAATTCACTGACCCCCTAAAGTTCACTTCCAGGATTAAAACACTGAATCATGCTCAATTTAATTTGGCTTTTTTGACAAAAAGTTACAAAAATGACTCTTTCGTGTCAAAGTGAAAAGGAGATTTCTACAAGGGAATGTCAATTATTTAAAAATATGAAATGAAAAAGTAGTAATTGTGAAGCCTTTACTCCTGTAAAGTCAGTACTTAGTTTAAAAATGAAAAAAACTTGGCATGACACCTTTAAGTTCAGGAGAAATAATACTGTTGCATTTCAAGGGAGGCAAAGCGAAAGTCAGAGGGGATGAATTGTTACTACACTGGCTGAGGAAGATTCTGTGGAAAAAAAAAAAAAAACGCTGAGTGTGTTTCCCTCGAGCTCAGAGCTCACCCACGTGTGGAATTTCACATCTTTGTGTCTGCGGCACATTTACAGGTTCACTGGATAACGTTCCCACACAGATGTCAGTCAGCTGCTTGAACGTGGACTTTGCTCCTAGTTCATGTATGTTTCTGCAAACTAAGTAAAAATTGATTAAGCCTTCAGTACGAGTCCCTGTTCTTTGTCATTCCGGACATAAAGCGTATCGGTTATGACAGTCAGGCCAAACAATGAATGAAAGATGTGACAGCAAAGTAAAGCTGGCAGCTTCTGAACATTCACAGTTCGTGAGCCGGAAAGACAAGGTCTGTCCTAGTCCGTGTCCTGCTGTTTAAACATCACAGTCCTGTCTGGGTGTAAAATCAATCACATAAAATGACGCAAAACTGATCTGACAGAAACATGCTCCAGCATTTTAAACACCTGAATTTCCCTGACTGATGTCTATGACTTTACACACTGCCAGCCTCTCACAGTGTCCCACCATGTCTGATGTCATTTTTCAAAGACCTGCCAGGTCCTGACCAGGTCCTGACTTGCTGCCGCCGACGGAGCTGACAAGGATGGAATGTCTCGGAGAGGAATGTCCCCGCGTCTTGTCATATAAGCTGCCTTCTCCGCTGAAACTGAGCGCAAAGACAAGAGTCAGTTCCAGGATTTTCAACTCTTTAGAAAAAGCCTGTTGTGATACGTTGTGACCTGTTGGTCTCCTTCCTCTTTATTGAGTCTTGACATGAAACTCAACAGAGAGGAGGGGGATTCACGTTCCACAGCCGCTTACTGTCTGTTTCAGTTTCAGGCAGATTTGAAAGAACCACAAAACGCCACCGGTCTGAATGGAGGCGATAAATAATCTCCTACATGTGCTCCACTGCTCTCTAATTACTGTAACTCCCTTCCTGTGCTCCCTGGAACTTCACTGTTCTCCAGGATTTTATCATCCCCTCCCTCCCTCCTCTCCCAGTAATCCTGTCTTGTTCTTCGGTGGTAGAGGGAGAAATTTAGAGAATTCTTTTCAGTGACCACACCAAACTCTCGAGTCACATGTTCTGTTTTTCCTTCCCGTCCTTCTCCTAAATAAGGAATTACAGTTTGAGGAGGGAAGAAGAAAAAAAGAGGCCAGGGGCGGGCCGTAGAGTGAAATAAGAGGACCTGGAGGCGTCGCTCTCTCTTGCTCCCTCTTTCTGCTGAATGTGGTGAAGTCATATATTTCAGACGGGGGTGTTTGCTGTATTTATATTGGCAGTCCTGTACAGTGCACTCTGCGCTGTGTTGTAGAAGAAGAATAGCGGGAGCAGAGCATCAAGAGCACAACTCCACCTGAATTCACCTGAGATCTACTGCACAAAGTAAGTGAACGCCACGCTTCTTTCCCGCTTATCAGTCTCAGTTTTCTGGACTCTCACTGGCAGTCAAAAGATTTCTTTGTTGCTCGGCGGGGCTGGTGGGGGGATTCTGTGCAGGAATCTGTGATATATCATCCACCCCACCCTTTGCTTTCTGTCTAATTTCCTCCAGCTTATGTTAGCTCATACACAGACTGAGGCTGAAAGCTGAGTTAATGTTTAGCTCTCCCTGCCTGCCCTCTGCATGAGCCTCTAAATTCTTGAGTTATGAAATTCTGTTTCTTATCTACCTTCTCCTCCGAACACTCTCCTCACGTCATGCAAGGCCTGTAGCGGTTTCAGGGAGTGTTAACAGGTTCAATCTCTGACAAATCCCTCATCAACGCTGTCTAATAGTTTGTCAGCTCCTCATTTAATACCTGCTCTAAACACTGAGCTGCCACATTTGAACGCCACACATTCAGTCACATTTATGAACCGTGGTTAACTTTCTTTCAGCGGCTGTACCGTTACGTGGTGTCTGCAATCTTTGATGGTAGGAAAGCTGAATTAACAGTTGGGCCATGTGCGGGATAAGAGAGAAACGTGGCCGTGAACTCTGAAAGAAATAATCCCGCCAACTATTTCAGGTCCACTGTGGTCACATCAGTTTCAGAACTGAGCCGATGACGCGTTTTTACGACGCCCTGTTGTAACTGCAAGAACGTTGTGAAACATCTCATAGCGGTTTACTGCAGGTTACTATGACATGAAAGTTGAAGAATTTGGGCGGAGATGAGACGTATGACAAGTTAAACAGTAACGACTGGAGTTGGGTCTGAGTAAGATGCTTCACATGCAGTATGGGAGCAGCAGAGTGAACAATGTAGAGCAGGGAGTTTGCTGAGAACAGCAGTTAGATGTTAGGAAGTGTGAACTGTGTAAAGAATACTCATGTATAGTTTCACTGATGGGTGTTTGAAGGTAATTTCTATCATGCAGGAGTTTTTCAGTGTGCTTTTATCTGAATAAATAATGATAAATATAAAGCAAATTAGGTTTTTCTCCATAATTTGACTTTTCATGTGCAGTAAGACCATTTATAATGAACAACAACAGCCAGATTAGTGGCAACACAGTCATGTAGCAGAAGCCAGAAAGGTACATCTGGTTATTTCAGAGACATTACAGACATGTATGTTTGAGGTTAAACAGGGAACAACGTGGAGCTCAAATCTACGGACTGAAAATGCAAATGAATGAATATCTATTCTGCCCTATTTTTATCGTTCTTATTTTTATCTTTACAAATCACCTCAGTAACCCCGGCAGCTCACGCAGCGTGGTGGTAGTGGGGGGTGGTAGCTGCGACTCTATGATTACAAGATGTTCCCACTAAACACTAGGCAAGGCTGCTCATAGTTGATTTTTTTTTTTTTTTTTAGAGTACATGGCTCCACATAATCTTCCAAAACACACAAACACCTGCAGACGCGCCCCGCTTGAACGGTCCGTACTTGTTGCAGTTTACAACCGAGCCCACCATAAACCCTACCTTGTAAATGCAAGATATGATTGAAATGCACAGTGTGGGGTGACACTGACACGACGCACATGCGTGATCAAGGTGCAAGGCCCGATAGAAAAGTCTAATCTAAGTGAGAGGCTCTCTGACTCCGTTATCCCTCATCGCTCGCTCAGATAAGTCGTGATGTTTGCAGCTGCTGGATGTTCTCTGGGCGTGCCGGTACACAACAGATGGAACTCCTCTGTGTTGAGAAAGAGACTGTTCAAGAGTTCTTGGATGTTTGAATATTTATTTCATTCTTGTTGCTGTAGCAGACTGGTTTTGGAACGACTTAGCAGACAGGAAGACACTTATCCTCCACATGCCTGTAGAACCACTGTGACCTCAGACAATGAACAGAGCACAATGTGTGTGATCCATAGCAGCTCCAGTGTGGGACTGTTGGACACAATGATGATTTGTCAACCTATCATCACATGTTGTGCAGGACTCACAAGCCCACAGGGGACTTAATAGGTGTGCCTCTCTGCCCACGAGAAATAAATGAGTGTATGTTAAAGCTAGTGTGCCTGCAATAACAAAAGACACATATTTGCACAGATGCATGTAATCCTACACTGAATCTCCAGCCTGTTACAAGTCAGAAAGGCCAGTTTCACCACATTTGCAGAGAAAACATTCCATAGATTTGCAGTGTGCACATAGAAGACTTTCCTGTCTGATATAAACATCTTCAGATGTTGTCTGGACTCTGTAATCTGCACAGGCAATAACTGCATGGCGGTGGTTCCTGTGTAGGCTGATATTTTCATAATTTAAGTGGCTCGATGTAGAGTTTGTTTGTTCTTAAAGGCCGTTCCCATAGAGAGCAACAGTGTGTTGTTTTGTTTAGATTCCTGTATGCACATAGCTACCTTTGTCAGGAATGGAGGAAGGAAGTGACAGCTGAATGAGCAAACAGGATGCAGTGAGCAGGGCGGTCCTACTGAGGCCAACAGGAAGCTCATACTGCATTAATAAGTGAGATAGGCCCACCATAATTACTCACAGAGAGCAGCAGGCTCGTAATTCCTCAAGACATTTAGCATTTTAATTTCCATGGCGCAAAATGTCATTGTTAAATAATTACACTGCCATTGTCTGGATGGTGGGAATACAGAGCGTCACTCTGTCATTGTGTTGCACACCATATCATTAGGATTAATGCTAAAGATGATGGATTATTCTAAAACTGGAGGAGCTTTGCTGCGTTATAGAAAAGCAGAGACAATGTATACGTCAACTTTGTATTGACTTCTTTCTTTACTCCTTAATCCTGCCTTTAAAGTTTGGAAAATGTTGTTACTGTCGGACAGTTTTTGGTCTTTATGCTGAGCTGAGCTGAATGGCTTTAGGCTGTAGATCTGTATTCCATACACGTATATGAGTGTAGCATGAACCTCTGACTTAGCTCTCTATCGCACAAAGAGTTCTGTAAAACAATGGTCAAAATCTGGCTTCAACAGTGTCTGAAAAAATATGTTAAAAAATAGAGGAATATTGTAATATTTAAAAACCAAAAAACAGTAAAAAAATGAATGAAAAATTATATTTCAGCTGATTTAAATACATTTGCTTTTGTTCGCTTTTTTTTTTACAGTTAACATGTAAATTATGACTTTTTCTGTGATTTTACTACTTATTATCTGTATTTTAACAAAACAGGAAAAATATGCAAAATAACAGTTTAATACTTGTTTATTTTTGTAACAATTTTTCAAGCCTTGAAATGCTTTTTCATTTCAAATAATGGCAAATATCTATAAAGTACCAATATTTTTGGCTGATTTAAATACAGTAAAAAGTAAAAAAAAACAACAAAAAACAAACAGATTTTCAGTTTTGATCTTTTTTGTAACAATTAAAATTTAAATGAATAATATCTTTTCTGTGATTTGATGCGTTACTATCTACAATTTCACAAAATATGTAAAATAACAGTAACTGTAAGTAAGTAAATATTTGCAATAGGCAACAATAAAACAGCCGCTGGAGGAAGCGAGGATCAGCCAGAAAAAAAAATTTGGCTCACATTTGAAAATTGTTCTCATTCTAAAAGCTTGAAACTAAAAGCTTCTCACAAAACACTAAAAACACAACAGAAACACATTCATGCACAAATCAGGAAGAGAATGACCAAAATCTTATTTGTTCTGACTGCAGCCAGGAATGTTGGCATGAGCAGGGCAGGGATTTGTACGTGAATGTTGTTCCATCTATGAAATATCCACATCGAAAAGGACACAATACACTGGCAGGGAGGAAAGTTTGCTCAGCTCCCGGCCTATCTAATGCTAACTTTCCCTCCCAGCAGGATCAACATGTCAAACAGAGGTCCTTCCTACGGCCTGACCCGCGAGGTTCAGTGTAAGATTGATAAGAAATACGACCCGGAACTGGAGGCGAGGCTGGTGGAGTGGATCATCGCCCAGTGTGGCTCTGGAGTGGGTCAGCCCGATTCATGCAGGGCCGGCTTCCAGGAGTGGCTCAAGGATGGATGTGTGAGTGTTGGGTTTGCACAAGTACATGGATCCTTGTAATTCACACTGTAAATGCAGTATGCTGAGGAGGATATGTGCTCTGTGTGTGTGTCTAGGTACTTTGTGAGCTCATCAACAGCCTGTACGGAGTCAACAAGCCGTTAAAGGGCATCAAGAAGTCTGGCATGGCATTCAAGCAGATGGAGCAAATCGCATTGTTCCTTCAAGCTGCTGAAAGATATGGAGTCACCAAAACGGACATGTTCCAGACTGTAGACCTCTTTGAAGGTAAGACCACCAGAAGACCTCGTCTGCATTGTAACAGTGAAGCCCTGTTGAGTGATTTGCAGACTTTCTTCGGCATAAAACTGAAGGTGCATTCAGAGGTGGCGTGCACAGGTCGCTGTCTCCTCCCTGTAGATGTGTGTGTTCTAATCATGTGACGCTGTCCCACATCTGCAGGCAAAGACCTGGCTGCCGTCCAGAGGACCCTGATGGCCCTGGGTAGCTTGGCTGTCACGAAGGATGATGGGAACTACAAAGGAGACCCAAACTGGTTCCATAGGTGAGTTTTGTTTGAGGATTTTATTTGTTTTTTTCGTTTCTCTCTGTGTGGAAAGCTGAAAAACAAAGGAGGTGTGAGGAATGAGATTGTGGACTGACGGATGCGTGTTTGTGTGTGAGCAGAAAGGCGCAGGAGAACAGGAGGGATTTCACAGAGGAGCAGCTGAGCGAAGGCAAAAATGTCATCGGCCTGCAAATGGGCACAAATAAAGGAGCATCTCAAGCCGGCTCGACGGGCTACGGGCAACTCAGGCAGATCCTCCCCAAACCCTGAAGAACCGGAGCAACGCTGAAACCCTCCTCCTCCTCCTCCTGTCCTCGAAAAGGCCAGTCAGCAAGGAGGGAGAAACTCTGACTCTTACCTTGGCCATGAGGAGAAATGTGACCGGACTGTTTTCAAGATCAACTGGACCAAAAATAGGGACCAACATGAACATGCGCACTTATGCAGCACACACATCACGTCAAGCACACACACATAAGTAGAGACCTTTTAACTGTTAAAACAAAACAAATCATTTTCCGCACTTTCATAACTACCTTCTGCTAGGCTGCTTGTAAATAATATTTTTTCTCAAAGATCATTCCAGCTGCTGTGCATGTTTTAGCTCATTACCTTAAAATCAAATGTACTTTACATGACCGCAAACCATAACATGTGACATCCAGATCGTTTCAGTACACCGTGCAGAAATCAGTCATTATCAATCTGTCACATTTAGCACTGAGTTTGCGTCACCCTTTACTTTAACATCTACATTACTGCGGCTTTTCTCACATCTTAAATGGATGAAACCACCACGTCCCTGATTTATTTTACACCGTGTCCTTGGTTGCTTTTTTGTGCATCTGCCAGTAGTGTCCTTGTGGCAACACAGCCATCAATTCTTGGATGTCACGGTGTTCTTGAATGCACCACCAAGGTTAGTTTTTGAAAATGTTCCCTGCTACAGCTGCAGGACTGTGCCGCAATAATGCAGCTTTAACAAAAAAAAATAATGATAAGAATGAAAGCTGAGCAGACAGATTAGCTCTAGAGCAAGAAAAACGTGTGCGTCGCGTTGTGGTTTACTGTGATGTTAAGTATAGAATTTATAGTTAGTAGGCTAGAACAAGCACATCCATCAGTCAAGTGTAAGTAAGTTTAGAAAGGTTTAAAAAGGGTTTGAGAATGACAGTCATGTGTGTTTTACCTGCTCCATAACACCATCTACAGTCGTCAGTCAGTTAACTTCTAATCAAAATGTTGGACCATCTTTTTAGACTTTGACAGCTCATAGGTTATACAGTCACAATGACTTTCAAATAAAGTTTGACTTAACTTTTCAAACGCCTCTTGTGTGATGAATTAGAACCCTGACACTTACTTACCAAAACTGCAACGAGAGCAGCTCCCTCCTACCTGAACTCTCTCATGCAGATCTACACTTCCTCTCGCTCACTACGCTGAACCAACAAAAACCGCCTCATGCAACCACCATAGCAGGGCACGAGGTCGATAGCTCGACTCTTCTCCTCTGTGGTTGCACGGTGGTGGAACGAGTTACCAAGCTCTGTTCAATCTGCTGACTCCCTCACAGTCTTTAAGAAAAGACTAAAGACCCAGCTCTTCACTGAACACCTCTGCACTTGACAGCCAGAAAACAAACAAACAAAAAAAACAAAAAAAAAATCCTATTACCTCCCACACAGCCTGCTATTGGCATCAACACCCATATCACACTTAAATTTGTTCTATGGCACTTATCTAGATTGTTTTCTCCTGACTAGATCCTTGCTTACTGTGCTCTCAGATGTGTGTCACTTTGGATAAAAGCTAAATGAAATTGTAAAATTGTAGAACTGAAATACTAGTAGGTTTTGTTTGCACCTGCTGATAACACTATCGATTCTACGCCATGCTGTAAAAGTAGCAGTAAATGAGTCAACGATTAACTTACGTGCATAGCAACCCGTAATAAACAAGTCAAAGTTTGTGCAGGCAACCAGAATAACACCTCTCGCACTATTTCCTCAAAAACCAGAGCTGTGAACCACACACAGATCAGCAGATGTGATAAAAGTTTGCTCAAGAAAAAAATCCCCCAGAGGTGGGAGGAGAGAGCGAAAAAGAAAAGATTGGGACAAGAGAAACCAAAGGGGGGATTCAGAGGAGGACTATCAATATCTCCTGCCAAGATGTTGTTTACACTGTTTTTGCTTGAGTAACATCGAAGGCGTTGAGCAAGAACAGACTCCGAAAAATACCAGATATGAGGAAGATAGTGAAACAGGAAAGGTATTTTTGATGAGAGAAACGGATTACAACTGAACAACAGGGGGAAGTGGTAAAAAAAAAAAAAAGAAACATCCAGATGGAGTGAGAGGAGTTTAAGGTGTGTGGGGTCAGAGGGAGGAAAGGTCACGAGGACGACAGAAAGGACAAAGCATTTCCAAAAAAGGAGTGAGCACTGCAGAGGGAGGGTTAAAAGAAGACTTCCCTTTCCTCTTCCTTCTTACTCGCAGTGTGCGAACAGGAAACTCTATGACACAAAGGGATGAATTAGTGAATGGGAAATTCATGAGAAACCAGTATGACACAAGCAAGAGGAGACACTAAACAAGTTGTCTGCCAAAGGGGTTACGCATTCATATGCTTTGTTTCTTTCAGTTGTAGTTTCTACTACTGCTGCTCTCCTCTGATGGAGTCATTTGCTCCTTATAATGTCCTCGATATTAAAACCGACTCTCTTGTTGATGAAGCTGCAGCACATTAGTCTCTGCAGGACAGCAGCTGTTATCTCAGCTGAAGCCCAGACAATTAGAATTTCCAAAAAGTGTTTATTATTTCAACACTGATATTTATTTCAACACGAGCAGCTTTGGCACGAGCGAGTTCTGGAGCCTCGCACTACTCGACACATCTGCCCAAGTTCGTCTCGAGGGTCCATTAACATAATGTGTGAGCTATTGTGTCCCTGCAAAGCCATATTTCACACTCGATTCTTTGTCACCGTTGCAGCAAATATGGCGGCCATGCTGTTGACTGTCAGGTCTAAAAGACATAAAGGTCTCATTAGATGCTGTGAGAGTCACAGCAGGTAAGGATGCTGTAATTAAACAGAATCATTTAAAATAGATTTATCTCTTTAAAATGAGATAGTTTGAATGCTTACTGCTAATGAAGCACATTAGCACATTGGAGGATCATGACATCAAGGAAACATAGGGATTACTGAAGGATTCACTTTCCCTCTATAAGAAGATTTTTTAAAAAATATAAAACGAGGGACACGTGTCGTGCATTTGAAACCAAAAATACGTCAACTTAGAAAATGTATCTAATATAGTATAAAAGTCTATAATGAATACCAACAAATGTTTTGCACATATTCTTTCTTGGGGTCCAATGGACCCTGAAAGACCTTCTATGTATGACAACATGAAAGTCCTGAATAGGGTTAAAATGGCCCACAAGTTCCTCCAGTGGAAAATGAATGATTAAAACGACCTTTCTAAAACTGTGTTGGTGCTCCTTGGTTCCCTAAAAAAGCTCTGACCTTCTGTTGGAGCATGAGACCTTTGGGAGCATCCTGTGGTGTCTGGCACTGGGATGGTGTGCAGAAGATCTGTTTGAGTCCTGTGGTTTGCCAGGTTTTGGCGATAAGACTTGTTCTGATGCAGCGCATGGACAGTCAGTCAGACTTGGATTTGAGGAGTTTTGAGACTGAATGAATTCTTTGGGCTCTTTATCGTGTTTCTGAGCTGTTTCGTTGGTGTCAGGTGATGCTGTTGCCATGAGGGTGTTGGGTGGCACACATCAAATTAACATCCACATGAATGACAGAACCCAAAGTTGCCCAGTAGAACATTGCATAGTAACAAATTGATCAGTGTCATTTATTTCATCTATCAGTGGTTTTAATGTTGTGGCTGATCAGTGTATAATCCCTCTGACTTTATGATTTTTGGCCCATTTTCTGAATAATCTCCCAATCCTTTCAAGGAATTTCTGTTTGAATGGGGTAAAATCCTAAACAAAGGCTTGCTATTATTTCATTGTACGTTCAAAAAAATGTCATTTAGGCTCCTTTCTTCTCGGAAGAAATTCAATTTCCTGCACTGATGACTTTCATTTCATCATTTATTGACCAACTAAGTTTACAACCTTTAAGGATATGGCTCTCCACCTTTGTCATCTTATCAACTATTCTTTGTTAATTCATGATTCAGTTAAGTGACTCATGATTAGGTCATAATTAATGTATTGATTGTTTTAAAAAGTGGGGAAAAAGGTTACCCTGAAAGCTTCACTGAGGAAAGTACTGTGAATAAAGTGAGTAGGAACATGTCGGTCATGGCAGCAGAAGCAGCTACTGAAGCTGCTTGTAACTGGATCTGTGGGGATATATCCCCAGAGAAGAAAAACCACAGTTCCTCTATTTTATATGTAGCATTCCCTGAGAAAAGGTACATTTCTCCATAAAGCACTGCAGCGGAGCTAAACACAGAGGTTGTGTTATTTTACTCCCAGGAAAGGGCTCGTAAAACTATTTCAACGTGCATAAAAATGGACGTGCTCAAATAGCAGCTTTCAGGTAGAAGCGCTAAGTCATAATAATCACTTCTGACCTGCCAGAGTGAAAGGCAGCTGAAATTAATGAAACTGAAACTCCCATTTGTCACATCTGAATTATTCCCCAAACACGCTAAAACAAACCTATCACTCAGTCCCACCTTTATTTTTATCCTTATCACACAGTTTCAATCTTTCTCACATTTCTGCGGCTAATTGTAGCGGAGCAGCGCAGCCTTTTCGATAGAGGAGCTATTTCTTTTCTTTTTCCTTTTTTTTTTTACATTCCATCAAGGTTTTAATGAAAGTGTGGAAACACCAACACATCGCTGGCCTCACTGCAGTGGAATGTACCGCGCTGCCATACAGGGGCATAACAGGGCCGATGATAGCCTTCAGGTTACAGAGATGACCTTTTGACTGGAAGGGTGCCAGTTTAAATCCTTAGACTGCCTGGGAAAAGATGAATGGGGAGATCTGATGTAACGCTTTCTTCGCTATTGTGCTGTTGAGCAAGGCATGTAGGGTGGAACCTGCACTGCTCTAGCGGCTACCAATGACAGCTGAGGTCATTAGCTGGTCATTTAAAAGATGAGGAACCACATGACTCTGAATGTTTTCAACATTTGTGTCTCAAGAGGAAGTAAATATCGCAAACAGATGCCACAAAGGAACATAAAGAACTCTTGTGATGTGCAACTTCTCTACAACTTCCATACAAAGTTATTTCAGAGGTTTTAAGACCCACACTTGAGCCAGTCAGGCTGAACTGAAGTCACTTGGTCCAAAACTCAAGACCTAAGTCAGTGAAGTGACCTTTCAGTCTGATTATCAGGCTGGAACTAATCCCACAGTTAGTAAAGTCAGTAAGGCAGGACACCGAGTGACACAGTGGAAAAAGTTGTCACACAGCACAGCAGAGCCTTGGCTTCAGGCCCTGACGGTGGGGCATCTGGCTTGGCTAAAGCGGGCATGAAGCCAGTGAGAAAACAGGCTTTTAGCAGCAGGAGTGACTCCTACTGGCTGCTCTGTGTGCGCTGTCTCACACTCTCATTCCTCTGTGGAATAAAAGCTGGTTTATGCACCAGATCTCACTCCCAACTGATCATATGTGGTCGCTTTGCAAGACCCCCTTGGCATCACATTTGAACAGGCATTTTTGAAGGTGCAGGGTAGTTTGATAGACCTATAAAAGTCTGTGAACATCAGAAACAGATGCCACAAGTCCAGAACCAAATGTTCTGTTTTGTTGCTGCTGCTCATTTCAGGCAACGAAAAATTTGCTTTGTAACTCAGCAGACCACCGGCATCTCAAGGACAAAGCACAGTCATTCGAAGACAACAACGTACAGATTTTGGCCAGGGAGGACAGATGGGTTGAGAGAGGGGTGAAAGAAGCCATCTACGTCAAACTGGAAAGACCATCCCTCAACAGAGGTGGAGGTCTGAGGCGTCACCTCTCACCTGTTTATAATTCAGTCCTAAGATCTCTCCCAGGAAGATGAAAGTGCATACACACCTAGTCACAAAAGACCCTAACGAACCCTATTGTGGCAGGGGGAGCACTAATGACCCACATAACGAGGGGGAGGAGCCACAAACCCCCAAATGAAACCGAAACTCAGGTGTTGATGGCTCCTGAATGTGGCGGGGTTAGACCAAGGGGGGGGGGAGTGGGGCGTAGGAGAGAGTAATACGTGAGCTGTACCAGTATCTAGAGAAGCCGACAACGCCACCTGGGGACTCTCACCCCAGGAACTACAAGTTAAATGTGA